TTTATGTGAATGGAAAAGCACTCGATGAAAGTCGGTGCCAGTCGCTCGAGAATGCAGATCGTATTGTTGTTCGTGATGAAAGGTGACATCGATGTCTTTTCTTTACAAAGCACTCAAATTTGGTTCTTCTTCAGTACTTCATAGCTCCGTCATTTCATCTTTACTTTCTTCAGTATTTTTAAGGTATTAATTTTTAAAGAACTCATTTTTTGCAGATTCTTCTTGATTCTTTTGGATAAAAGTGATGAAACAACGATTCTGCGCGATCATTCATTCAGCTCCGTGCGATTGGAATATGTGGAGAGCAATTTTGAAAGGTTAACGTTGCATTGTCGATTGTTTTGTTTTGCTTCTGTTAGTGATTGTTGTTTGCTTGTTATGCTTCCGGAGGAATTTCGATGCAACCAAATCATAAGAATAACGAAACGAATTTCATGTGTCTAAGAATTATGAAGCATACTTTTCCGAATCATTGGAAAACATTACTGTCTCAATAAGTAATACATCAGTCCAATGAACAAATAATTTTCACGAAAAGTGAGAAATTTTGTCAGCGTTATCTTTTCACTAATTAATTGATAAGTTTGTAAACTCAAAGGTAATTACTGTAAGTGATTTCATTTGACTGCAACATTTCAACAACATTGCACAATAATTTCGATAGGATCCGAACCAGTGGATCAATTCTGTTTTGATTTCATGTTTTATAGAGTACGAGCGCAAGTGGCAGCTGATAAAAAGGCGGACGTTCAACGAGAAAGGCAACAATTGCTTGGAGAGATCGACGAGGAGATGAAATTACGTCGAAAAGAGCTCGAGCAGAGTCAGCAACGAATCACTATCAGCCACGAAACACCGCAGGTTATTACAGTTTCAGTTTTCTGTCGTTTCTCGGTATGACTGAAGGAGTTTATCGTGTGCGAGAGATCGGTTTGCCATTAATTTTTTACTGAAAATTAACGAACGTTGATTTCTGATTGCTGTTCGTCGAAGCAATGTTGTATCGTTGTAGAGGACTGAAGAATCTGAAAAAGTGCACGAGCTGGAGGTTGAACTCGATAATCTGCAGACGTTAAGCGCATCGTTTAGCATTACTTCGAATCGGTATGAATGTTTCATCACTGTTGATAATTCCGTGCAATATTTTCAGCGTAGTTTACGTTTGACAAAATAAAATTGTTATCTCAATCAAATCCTTTATAACAGAACTTCAAAAGCTCATATAAGTATCTTCTTCAGCTGAAAATATTCTTAGGCGTCTATCGCGCAATTATTTTCGTTTTTCGATATACATTAACTGATAATTGAGGCGAATGCTGAATCGATGATTCAATAATGTGACGTAGATTCGACTGATTGATTGATTCAGAACAAACGATTGGGGAATTTTTTTTTAGGATAGTGGAGGAAATTACATTTGAAGTTGAGTCAGTCGATCGAAAAGAGCAGCTGATGGCGTTGCAAAGTGAAGTGGATCGTGCAAATTTCATACTTTGTCGCTTTCAAAAAGAAAACATTGTAAATTTTTTATTCAGTCCATCCACTATTTGTTTGAACAGAAATATTTTTGATTATTTGATCAGAAGGTTAACGGCTATCGACATGTTCAATAATGTTTTCAATCCTTTTTATTTGTTTTAATTCTCTTCTATTTTTTCATGAAACTGAATAGTTA